TGTTGGGAAATGTTTAGTTAGATTTTGGTTTATTATGATACGAAGGGGGAAAAGGCAAACTACTGCTGTAGTTTTATGATCAACTCGCACGGCCTTCTGTAGTTTCATAACAAACTTACATGGTCTTCTGTAGTTTCCTGACCAACTTGCATGACCAGCTGTAGTTTCATCACAAACTCACATGACCTGCTGTAGTTTACCATAATCTCTATACTTTACCTTTCTTGACCTTGTATCTTCAAATCTGCGATTATCAAATTCATATTAAAATATTAGTTTTGGTCCAAAAATTCATTTCAAGCTCGAAAAGCAAACCTATCGGAAATTATGAATTTTAAAGTGGATTCCGCCCCCTCCTACTCCAACATATATTTGTTCAATTATAACGAAGTAAGTTATTTAATGAGGAATGAATTTTAAAAATGATTACTTTGTAACAAATAGAGAAAGAAACTAAATAATATAGTAATAATGTTGTATGATTTTTCAGGTATGAACTGCGAGAAGACAGGAAGCGAGAAGCTGCTAGAAACACCGATTTGATTGAAAGCATAAGAGAGACATCATCCACTCGCTGAGAGGCACCCTCGTCTGGAACAATGGTTCAGCGATGCTTCACACCAGTCCAGTGTATGGACAAGACTCGCAATCTGGTCTGTTGTCGCACCATGAACTGGAGAGTCTGAAACGAGAAATTGTTGTTAGTCTGAGAGAGGAGGTTAGAAACATGTTGCGGGGGGTAGCTCCCCCTCCCGTTCCTACTATTACATCGGATCTTTATCAAACACACCTCTACACGCAACTCTGAATGACTGTTCATTAGGGTTAGAAATTAAATCCACAGTTCGTCTGTATACTGATCTTAAATCAATGGCTCGAAAAGACGATCTCATTCAACCAACACCACCATGTGGTTTAAGACTATGCATTATAGACAGAAAATGTCATCCTACAGTGAGAAGTTATATTATCCCAAGAGAAACAATATTAGGATTCTCCCAGAAAACTGTTTCTATTGGCGGTGACCATAATTTAATTTCGTGTGTTTTTAGCAGAGATGACAAAGTTGACCAAGCAGTGTGAGCTGGTGTTCTTCGTTAGCAACGCCTTGCTGAGTAGTGTAGATTGTATTTTTGTTTAACGTTATTGGAACGTATATAATGATCTGATGTTTCAGAACATCCTGATTTTGGTGTTACGTTACTGGAACGTATATAATGATCTGATGTTTCAGAACATCCTGATTTTGGTGTTACGTTACTGGAACGTATATAATGATCTGATGTTTCAGAATATCCTGATTTTGGTGTTACGTTATTGGAACGTACAAACCTTCTGATGTTTCATAATATCCTGATTTTGGTGTTACGTTACTGGAACGTATATAATGATCTGATGTTTTATAATATCCTGATTTTGGTGTTACGTTACTGGAACGTATATAATGATCTGATGTTTCAGAATATCCTGATTTTG